GGCTTGGGACCCTCCGAGCCAGGTGTGGCATATAATCTTCTGGTGTGCCGTTTGCTAAGACCCTTGGTAAAGCACAGTATTGTGTGGGAGTGACCCAATTTTTCAGGTGTTGTGTGTCACTGTTTCCCTTGGCTAGGAAAAGGAATTCCCTTCCTCCTTGCGCTTCCTAGGTGAGGCGATGCCTTGCCCTACTTCGGCTCTCACTCGCTGGGCTGCACCCACTGTCCTGCACCAACTGTCCAACATGTCCCAGTGAGACGAACCCGATACCTCAGTTGGAAATGCAGAAATCACCCATCTTCTCTGTTGCTCACGCTGGCAGCTGGAGGCTGGAGCTGTTCCTATTTGGCCATCATGGCACCAACCTCACTTGATATGATTTCTAAATTTAAATACTTTTGAGACAAATGTGAATTGTGAAGGGATTTAAAAATGTCAGTGAAAAATTGATTTAAAAATAAAAATATATATCAACTTTATTTCTCAGTATAATCTCTACTGAGGTCAAGACACTGCATTAAGGGATGATCCCAACCATTCAGTCCATTGCTAAAGAACTGAGGGTCATGGGAGTTTAATCATGTCAATGCAGTCTTCTACTATTAACTAAGGAAAAATGGGTGCCCTTTAGAGTTATTTTAAGATTAGGAAAAATAAGTTCAGAAGAAACCAAATCAGGACTGTAATGTTGATGCCTAATAATTTCCCATGAAAACTCTTGCAAAATTACTGGTGTTTGACGAGAGGAAGGAACAGAAGTGTTGTTGTGGTGCAGAGGGACTCTCTAGTGAAGCTTTACAGGGCACTTTTCTGCAAAAGTATTTGCTAATTTTCTCTAAGAACTCTCCTACTAAGAAGATATGGTGCTTTGATCCTACAGAATGTCAACAAGCAAAATGCCTTCAGCATCCCCAAAACCTCTATGGCTTTTGCTTTTGAGAAGTTTGCTTTTGCTTTGACTGGACCACTTCTACCTCTTGGTAGCCATTGCTTTAATTGTGCTTTGCCTTCAGGATCCTATTGATAAAGTCAGTTTCACTCCCTATTATAATTCTTCAAAATAATGCTTCAGGATCTTGCTTCTGCTTGTTCAAAATAGTCACTAATAGCTCTGCTTTTGTCCTTAGCTGATCTAGGCACAAGAGTATTCGGGACTCATCAAATGTAAAGTTTCTCAACTTTCACGTTATAGTCAGTATTGTGTAAGCTGAACCCATTGAGATGTCTGTGGTGCTGGCTATAATATCTCTTGTTAATAGTCAGACCTCCTCAATTAGGGCATAGAAACAATTTTTTTTCTCTCAAAAATTGGAATGGATGCCCCTCCTCTGTGGGCTTCATCTTCAACATTGTCTTATCTCTTCTTAGAATCAGGTATCCGTTTGTAAACGACTGATCCTTCAGGTCATTTTTCCCATAGACTTTTCATAAAGACTAATTTATTTCACCATTTTTTGTACCCCAGCTTCACCATAAATTTGATGTTTGTTCTTGTTTCAGGTTTGGCAGAATTCAATTTGGCAGAATTCATGTGGCTCTTTTCAGACTGATGTTTTAAATCCTGTTCAGATATGTTAAAACAGGGCCGGGCATGGTGGCTCACGCCTGTAATCTCTGCACTTTGGGAGGTGGGGCAACATGGCAAAACCCTGCCTCGACAGAAAATACAAAAATTAGCCTCTACAAAAAATACAAAAATTAGCCAGACAAGGTCCCAGCTACTTGAAAGGCTGAGGCAGGAGAAGCAGAGCCTGGGAAGCAGAGGTTACTTTGAGCCAAGATTGCACCACTGCACTGTCCCCTCGGTGAGGGGAGTGAAACCCTGTCTCAAAAAGAGAAAAAAGTTAAAATAAACTAGTATATGTGTGTTTTGATGCAAAAGCTAAAAGTTCATGCATAGTTTTTTCATAATTGTTATTTTACATGGACTTATTGAAGCCCCCTATTGTTTGCCATAATTTTCTCATCTTATTAATTTCTATATACATACAGAATTTCCAATTTGTGTAAACCTTTCTTCCCAGTTACTGAACAATTATTTTAAATT